TACGCCAACCATGACATTTAAACACTTGAGGTACAGTTATTTTATGACAAAGTATATTTTATCTTTAAAACAAAGTTCAAATTGAGGACATAATTTATAACTTAAATTTCAAAAAGAGTTTTTTGATCAAAAAGTGAAAATAAATTTTATCTTTCTTATTTTAGAGCAGACTTCTTCATCTACAGTTTGATGCAAAACTTTTTTATATTTATCCCTTATTTCGAAAACAGGCTATCGATTAGTAGAAATAGTACAGAGTAGAGAGATAGTCTCATTATACTAATGGCCACTCGTATTACTTTTTTCATACATTAAAAGATGAAGTTTCTAAAGAAATTTATTATGCTACGATAAAAACATCTTTCTCTTATATAAGTACCTAAATCTTAAAACCAAACATTTCTTTCTATTCTTGCCAAAGTCCACCAGAGTATAGATAATAAAATTTTATGTCTTCCTTCAAATAGTTTTTGGTCAATCATGTATAGACGCACTCTCACGTAAAATCACATTCAAATGCGTCTAAACAGTATTATTACCTGCGTACAAACGCGGGTCCATAAAAAATGCGTTAAGCAACGGCTCCGATCTCCGTCTGACCGCGTCTTGATGCGTTCTATCTTAAACCGCATCCAAACGCGCTTGAAAAATTTTAATAAAACGCGTTTTCATGCGGTCTCGTAAAAAGTCGCGTCCAGTCGCGATTCAAAATCTCCTGCGGCCGCGTCTAGATGCTTTTTTATTTTTGGTCGCGTTCAGACGCGAATAGGAATCGATTGTAACCTCGTCCGAACGCGGTTTCATTTACAATCGCGTCTAGATGCGTTTGAAAATTTTCTTCAGTTGCGTATAGACGCGATTGTAAATGAAAACGCGTTCAGACGCGGTGAAAATCAATTTTTAGCGCGTCTGAACGCGGTCTACAATGAAACTGCGATTACACGCGTATATTCTGCGTCTGGTGTTTACATGGGTAAGTTTAAAATATTAGCTGCTGATCGCTGTCTTATATGGAACTATTCAATTCCTTAAAAAACGATAAGACACAATTTCAGGAACTGAATAGTTTCATATAAGAAAGCGATCAGCAGCTAATATTTTAAATTTAATAGTTTAGCGATGAGGGTGTTAATTTGACCCGAATATGATTAGGTTATTAACTGATAATAGAAAGAAAGTAAATTGGAGTATCATATCAACTGGCTACGCCCATATGAAAAATCTCTCGTAGACTAAAGCTGTTTTGTATAATAATTGGTATTCAGGGTAATGATCTCTCTGCTATTTCTGTGTTTCGAAGAGAATGCTTAATTTTTACTACAAATGCTCTATGTTTCGTTTGCAGTGTTGCTATTCACTCATAATTTGTCGTTTCTTCAAATTCGTTTTTTTCTTAATTTAGCACTCTTATTATTATAATCATCGAATTAACTGACAAAGAAATCTGTTTTACATATTCATGATATCAACAGCAGATGTGGTGTACTATCATATATATATAAATCAACTCACCGATAATGATATTAATTATTTTTCAAAACTAACATTTTATCAATTTTGAAAAAAAGCATGTCGACAACCGAACATCTGCTATTTTTCATTGCGAAGTATCTGTTGTGAGGAGAGCAAGTAGGAGTCGAAGAACTTCGAATTAAAACTGACACTCACTATTTTCTTAAAAAAATATACGCAAGTTCTACAAAGAAGTTTACAATAATTAAGACAGTGAAAAACATGATTAGATATCATATACATTTGTAATTGATAGAAAATAAAAAGAATATGCAAATATAATAATTTATTTTTAAAATATGAATATAAAAAAATAGCTCCACTAAACACTAAGAAATTCTACATTGAATACGAATTTAGACATCAGTTGTCCGGTGACACACGCGTGAAAGACGATATCTACATATATATCAAAGAAATTAATCAATGTTTGAACGTTTTTTTTTGAGTTCATTCATCAAAATCTTATTGGTTAATGCATGTAGTAATGATTAGAAGATGATTTGAAATGTTAATATCTAAATTAGTTAATAACTTAAGATTAATAATACATAGTTAGTAAGAAATGTAGTTATATATGGGTACCGAAAACTAGTTCATTGTGTAGCAATCATCCATAAAGGACATGAAGATGAACGAACGCTTATGAATTGGGGAGTTCCGTTAAAAATGGACAGAGGGAAGAGCATCATCTTGTTATTTTTTCTATTATCGGTTCATTAACATATAGTATATTTAGTATGTATAGCGTTTTGATTAATTAACTGTTATTTTATCAAGAAGCAGTAGTAAATTAGAACAAACACACTTTTCTGAAAGTTTTGTTTTCTATAGTGGAAGTTAGAATCCATCAGATTGGTTTCGAATCCGAAAGCTAGGATTCTAATTGTTTGCAAAATATGTAGGTGACACTAATTACAAAATGCAAAAAAAAGATAACAAGCATCTCAAATCTTCGGCGCGACTATAGAATTCTGACTAGAAAATTTTCCAAAGAATACTAAAGAAAATGGTTTCATTGCGTTCGATGAAGCTAAGGAAATCTGAACAAGAAAGAAGGACACCAAAAAATTGCGATTGCTACTTCGGCATTCTTTAGGAAAGATTCCTCAAGTAGTAATTACTCTTTAATAAGACTGTAAATCACATTCAATAATCTACAACTTTGATTATATGGACTAGAGTTAAAATATGCTGTAGTCATACAGGTATTTATAGAATTTAGAAGTGTTACTAAGATAAAGAAAAAATAAACCGTGTCATCATTGTTGTTTCTCAATAATTCGGATTTCAATGAATACGATTATCATCAAACAATGATTCTCGATGATACGTTTGTCGGGATTTATTAATATTTTGGTTCATTTCCTCAACTATTTCAATATTTTTTTTTTTTATAAAAAGAAATTATTAGTAAAAGAATAATTATATAATGATAAACATAAATGATCATTCAAGATCTAAACGATGTCGTTCAGATAGTTTGATACGTTTACCATTGTTAGTTTTTGAATCATCTATCAAGTGTTCAAGATAATCGCACATAATAGCTTGCTAAATGAAAAGTTTTTATATGAAATAAGGGCAAAAAGAAATTCAATTATAACAAATTCATTATTACTTGATTACTAATTAGTTGCTTATGGTTTTCAAGTCTCCGTATTCTATTTAAGATATTTTCCTGTAATGATTGACTAAAAATACGCCAAAATTGAAAAAAAAAATACACGAACAACATATTGTTTTATGTTTTTTCCTTTTGATATAAAGCATTTAACTTGAATATAATTAGCGAGAGAAATAACTAATGAAACTCTTTCTTTATAAATCGTTCTATACCAAATTTTCATAGATCGACTACAGACGGAAGATTTTCGAGAAACTAAACACGGTAATTTTCAAGTCTTAGAAGACTATTATATTGAAGAGCATAAAGTTTTGAATAAAAAGAAAGATTATCGCATCTTCTACAACTTCCTCTTAAAAATTTACAAAAATATCACAAATCGAGATTGATTATCTACAACAAAACAAGGCATTGTGCTGGTTTTGTAATGCTTATCACTTTTTAAGAGAGAGTGGCGGGAAGTGGAACAATATCTCGTTTGCTTAGAGACTTTCTTCTTTTAAAGATAATATTCTTTAGCATTAATCTTCATAGAGTCTTCGGACACCTGAAAATGTTGTGTATGATTTTTCATAACTCTTCCTATAATAATTCTATTTATAAGATTCCAGTATACACTACATTTGATAGAATATTTCACTAACTATTCCAACCGCTATTTAGACTTAAGTGGTTCATATCGCAGAAAAAAAGTTGAAAAGAAGTTAATCTGATATTTTCCAAGGGCGTTCTATGAAAGATCTCGATCTAGTGTTTAATTTATTTAAGCTTACTACTTACACTCGTTCTTCATCTAGATCAGGTTCATCAAGTAGTTTTCTTTCTTGTTTTAAATAATTATAATAAACTTCAGCACCATATGCGTCTTCAGTTGTTTCAGTTTTTGTTATACTTTTGTCATCGAGTGACAGTTCTAATAAAAAAATCAACTATTTTATTTAGATGAATAAAATAAAACAAAAAAAATATGTTTTACTATATTTTGTTCAATTCACATGTTGTCGATGTTTATTTTTTGGATGAATTCTGATTTACAACATTTAACTAATGTATACAAAGTTAATCGTACACAATGAGACAAAAAAACGAAAGGTGATGGAAATGATGGACGTGATAAATATTCACACACTAATGAATATTGTTGAAATTTCCAAATACGATCTGCATTGCTTTGAAGACGATCGAAAGTATTACTAAATTAAAACAAAACAAGGTTTTAGTTAGATGCAAAAAAATGGTTTCGATGCATATTAACTATCTATAGTCCTTTTTTTTCATAACGATTTAAAGTAGATGTTATAAATACTACCTGAACATAGCAATAAGTAGATTGACTAAGAGTATACTAACAATAGTCATATAACCATCTGCTTTAAAATTTCCTGTATAAAGACAAACATTTTATTATTTAATTAGAAATTCTTTATTCTTTTCTTCTTTGTATTTGCATACCTTCGAAGGTTTCTAAAGCTTCTATCTCACTAAATATATGTGTCAATAAGCAAGATTTATAATTTTACGTGATAAATGCCAAGTAAATTCTTGAACACCAAATACTAAACTATAAAATGATACACCAAACGCCAATATAAATACGAAAGACATTAACATGAAAAATTTCAAATCATGTACCTAACAAGAAAAATATATATATAAGAAAACAACATTCAATAGAAAACAAACTAATACTATTGGCAAAATCTCTGTGAGAATAAAATGTGAAACATGATAGAGCTACTATTGTTGTCAACGCGAAATGGAGATTGATTTATTCTGACTATCTGAGAAGGAATTACTTCATCTTTCTTCTACTAAATTCTCTAGAAATACGATAACAAAATAGTTGTTGTTGACAGGCGACTTATCACAGTATCTGATTAAAGCATGTTACAATCTATGATTAATCTTTGAAAAGTAACTATTAAGGAATTGTGCTAATGTCTAACTAGTGTCTCACAAAATCAAGAAGATTACTTACCATTTCATCAATTATAACAAGTTTAGGCCCAAGTAGTTTTACAGTGGTAAACATATTCAATGTACATATAAACCAAATAGATAAATCAAATGATAAAACAATCCGTGCTGCATAAAAGTATTCTGATATTGAAATATATCGAAGTACAATACCCTCGAAAAATAGAATTATAGTCACAACATCTAATTTATTCCAATATGATTTACAATAAATTGCAACAGCGTTTCATGCTGATGGTGCTCGTATTACAAATAACTAAAGAATGTGAACACAGTAAATAGAGATCATAAGATAATAGATTACAAATATATTCAAACAAATTACCTGTCGAAGTTCTTCACAAACTAATGTAATAACCCATATGACAAGTATAATTTCAGTAGAAGACGAATTTTTATGCGATTGTAGTCCATATGCAACTGATTTACTAACATTATAGAAATTTATAGTCGATATGTAACTTGTAACTGATAGATTACCATCTTCGTCATCGCAACAATCTTTTTTTGCTAGATTGCCAGATGGTATACATGAATTCATTGGAAGATCATAGAGTGGAAAAAAATCACATAAAATTACATAGGAGAATAGTAATAAAAAGAGCAAATGAGAGTACTAAAATATAAAATGAATAGGTGTATTAAATAAAATTATATGAAAAAAGAACTAATTTTTAAAATGAAACATACTTTTAGAAAAAATAAAATAAAAAAAACGACTATTATCTAATTGAATACTTACTAAATGATAAAGATATTTAACATATGCAGTACGTATAAATGTAATAATACGGTGAAGATATTCAGAAGCTTTTCTTACTTTCCTAGAAGAATAAAATAAAATGAATTATTATTTCCTTTGTCCAATTTAAACAAATATATAAATAAATTATATGTAAAATAATCTTAATTAACAAAAAGCAGTCGTTGTTGATTTAAGTCACTATTAGTATTATTGCTACGTCATGATGAAGCTTGTCATAATTATTTATCATCGTTGTTGTTGCATTATTATTGATCGTATTTTCACTGTTGTTGTTGTTGATATTTTCGTTGATGTTGTCGACCTCCATCTCCCCTACACCATCATCGATGACGATGAAATCTTCATCGGACAGGGCGTGGGTGTGGGTAAATCATTACGCCTTCCTCTATAAGTTAAAGTATAAATGATATCATAAAACATTCTGTATCAAGTTAGTGCTCATCCAAATTTCGGTTTTTGAATGTATTTAGAGCAATTATTTCCTATGAAATTATTGATATTACTTGATTTACATGTCAAAAGGAACTCGTACTTCACGATTTTCATTCTTGGTGTTGATATTCTAAAAAAAACCTAGAGCGGACTGGTGGTCTATATCAAAAAGAAAATCTATAGACATATCTTTTATATATTTTTGATGAAAACAAAGTTTCGAAAAAGTCATGGTACATATTGCAGATGAAAAGCTGTTTTTGAACTGAAATATCTCGATTTATATATCCGTGGACGCACTATTTGACTGAGATCACGAATTTGAAAGTATTTCTGTCCGTGAATGTAATAAAAAGTAAAATTTGAAACATACGACCTCGTTTTGCCAAAAAAATATCCTTGAATATATAGTACTAGGTCTATACAAGAACTATTCAGGCAGACAGATAAACGCCAAAACGTCATTTTGACACGTTGAAGATAAAAATAGCAGAAAATAACGCTGTATAACGCATTCACTCAACAAGTTAAGAAATAAAATTGTGTCAATGCATTTAGCTTTTTGTTGACGCATTTTAACTCATTTCGTAGAAGAGTTAGCCAAATGAATGCTTTTTAATGTAGAAATCCATTCGTTTTAATCAGTGAACACAGATCAAATCAAGATATTGACAGTCATTCATTATGATTTATTTATATCATATTCTGTTAAAAGAGCCAATGCTTTCAAAGTTGAAATTCTTTCTTTTATATTTCTAATAAATCTAAGAATTATAAAAAGTTTTTAATATTATGTGCCCTCATTTAGATTTGGATATTGAAAAAAATACAGAGTTACAAACAGAAAGAAACTTAACGTCAGTTGGAGATTGAAACACAAGCTTCTGAATACTGATTCTAAACTAGTAACTTCCGATGTTGTTCTATTGCGTATTCCATAAAATATTTGTGTACATTCATATATTCAGTCATATATCTGTATAAGCCCCAAATAGACTACTCAAATAAAATATGAATGAAAATTGAATTAAGAAATGTTGTTG